CATAACCACACAGCAAGCCTTCTCGAGCTTGCGCAGAACCTTGGGCAACACTTTCTTGGCAAGCTCTTCGATCTCGTCCGGCTGTTGCTGTCCATGCTGCTGCTGGTGTCCTTGAGGGTGGCCCTGTTGGTGGCCAGGGTACCCGGAAGAGCCCTGTTGACCGGCCGAAGGAGGCATAACAGCATCACCGCCAGTCAGGTTCACGTAGATGCGACCAGCGTTGTCCTCGGTAGCATACTGCAGCCCCAACTCACGGCAAACCTGCTCGACGCGCGGCTTGATTTTCTGGATATGGTTCGCGGAGTGGTTTCCCTTGCCGACGATACTATAGCGCGAAACGGTATTAGTCCCGTTCAGTCCAGCACATTAAACTCACACTTACACATGAAGATGATTCTGCCCATGCGACTTGGCATACTTGATCCGTTCTTCCAGGATCTCCTCGGCCTCCTCGACGAACTGGCCGTGCAGATCGATGGTGTCGGCCTCGACGCGCCCGCTGGCGTTGTTCTCCCGGAAGATGAACTCGGACGCTTGTCTGTTGTACTCCTCCATCTTGCGGCCGTGGGCCTTGCCCTCCTCGGAGAGTTGCTTGGCGGCGGCGCCATCGCCGTTCGAGTAAGCTTCCTTCGACTAGTGGGAGTTAGCGTTAGCGCTCATGAAATGACTATATCTGCGATTGCGATTGCGGTTGCGATTGGAATTGGGTGGTCGCGTACCCGGCCGAAACATTCGCCGCGCTTGGAGGCTTCCTGGCGCGCGAGGTCGCGGAGGCGATCGTACTCCGCCTCCGCGTCGCTGCTGTTGTCGTGGTTGAAGGCTGTTGTCGTTAGCGATTGCAGTGGCATGGAACAATTGACGCATTACTTACCCCGAGGGCCCATATGCGACATTTCGTGCGACATGATTGTGACGATAAGAAAAGGCACCGGGGGAAAGAGAAGGGTACCTCTTAGAGTGGGGAATCCCGAAAAATCAGATCGATCGGGTTCCTTGGGTCTTCCCAAGGTTTGTTGGCCCCGATCGATGGAACCAAGATTTTCGCCCCATTGGGATTTGCATTGTGGTTTGGAATGTTAAAACCCGAATACGTACGTAGATATGAATGAATACATTAATATGTCGTGGTCGTATATTAGCTTTAAGTCCATGATTACAGTGGTCTAGATGGGTGTGGATTGACCCTTGGAAATGATCTACGCAGTTAGTCACAATCCTCCAATCCAGAGAGCTACAGGTAATTTATGTAGTGGCAATACCCAGTGTATTCAAATTCTGTTAGTAATCACCCTTGGACCCAGGGAACCTTGGAAACCTCTCGACCAAATTCAGAGTTCAGGGCTCGAGTTTAGACGCCAAACTAGAGCCGCGGGCTTCAATAGTCTCCATTGCCACGAGGAAGTGGAGTCCAGTATCAACTCCCACAAATTGGCGGCAGAAAACGGCTAGGAGCACTAGTCAGTGGGTCATCTAGTGCAGACCTTCAGGGGACAACCTTGGGACGCGATTGGAAAGAGGGAATACATCTCTTAACTTACCCTTTTTTAACCGATTCTGGGACCTGGTGCCCATTGAGCTCCTTTTCAATCATGCATGACATAGTCTTGTCGAATCCACCAGTAGAAGGACTGAGCACTAACGTTGAAGGTGTGACAGTCAGTGTCTCGCCATTCTCGCATAGTCTCCAAGGTGGACTATCGGATCCACTCGAGATGCAAACGCAGGATCCACGGAAATGCAGGCTGTCAGAGACCTGTCGGATTGTCCGTACTCCGTACTGTTGTACTTCAAAGAAGTTTCAAGGAAGCCTCAAAGAAAGACATGGATGCATGAGATGAGGCGCAGACTAGTCTGATTGGGCAGGAGCACTGGCCTTTTGCTTTCTTTCTTTGTTTCCCTCAGACTAAGATCATCTGAGACGAGATCCTGCTGAGATGAGGTCAGATGTCAGATTTTATGGAACGTTCGTGTGAGAAAGTACGGAGTAAACTGTACGATATACTAGGAGCTGATAAGTTGCTCGTCAGGGGTTCCCTTCCCAGACTTCTTGAAGAGGCAGAATTCCATCTAATGTTGCTTTTATTTCCAGCATTGGATCTTCAAATGCGACTCGGTTTGTAGTTTGATATGCTAGTAGTTTTGCTCTCCACAAGATCTGCACACCTCCAAGAGTCCGGCATTTTATACAAAGTACTATGCATGGGTATAGTACTCTATTCTATAGTATACTTATGAAGGGCTGTCTGAATCAGAATATTCCATAGATGCATATAGATAATACCGATCCAATGCCAGTAAAATACCACAGACCGGTCAATACAATAGCAAAAAGCAAAAGGGGCTGAATGGGCCCCTGTCAGTCCCCACACCACCCAATCAGCTAACTCCAGTTGCCGGGGTGGTATGGTTCTGTATTGTGTATTTTATTTACGCAGGCGGTACCCTTAATCACCCATTCTTCGCTGAGTTGCAGTGGTATTACGAGTGTATCCCCTTTCTCTGCTGAAACTTTCCCAATTTCCCCCTCAGTCTTGCCCCTTACCTTTGAACCCGTTGTATCTCCCTTCTCTCTCCTCTTCTTCTTTTCCAGATTGGATTCTAATCGAATTCTTCCAAATTCTTCCTTTCTTTTCCTTTCTTTCATTTATACCCTTTTGCCGGTTTGTCCTTCGTTTTTGCATCTCGCAAAAGCACGTTCAGGTGGGTACCCTTTTTTTTCCCTTTGATCTTGTCAATTGGCTATTTGCTCTGCAAACTCGGTGCCGACTCCTTGCGTCGGCATGCTTACACCACTTCTGAAACGCCGTCTGCCTCTGCTCAGCGGTGCTTGTACAACCTATGCAACGCCCCCCTCGAGCCCAACGCGATATTTCCTCGGATGAAATTATTCCATGCTGACATTGATCCGATTTGGACAGCCCCTGTAACAGACCGATTATCCCTCCACGAAGAATTTTCTCTCATCCACTTTCACGCCGTTAATTGCAACTTTATACCGTCAAAATGGGTTGCGGAATGAGCACCGAGGATAAGGAGGGGAAGGCGCGGAATGAGGAGATTGAGAACCAGCTCAAGCGCGACAAGATGATGCAAAGAAACGAGATCAAGATGCTGCTTCTCGGTATGATCTGTTGACCCTCTGATGGGAATATGCGCAGATGGCTAACTTGGGACATAGGAGCCGGAGAGTCGGGAAAGTCTACGATTCTGAAGCAGATGAAGCTTATTCACGAGGGTGGATACTCCCGCGACGAGCGTGAATCATTCAAGGAAATCATCTACAGCAACACCGTCCAGTCGATGCGGGTCATTCTCGAGGCCATGGAGTCGCTCGAGCTGCCCCTCGAGGATGCGCGCCACGAGTACCACGTCCAGACCATCTTCATGCAGCCCGCTCAGATCGAGGGTGACAGCATCCCCCCCGAGGTTGGAAACGCCATTGGCCAACTTTGGCGCGACACTGGTGTTCAGGAGTGCTTCAAGCGCTCGCGCGAATACCAGCTGAACGACTCTGCCAAATAGTGAGTAGCGACTGCTCATCTATCGCATTGCAACGTAACTAACTCGTTTCCTCTTAGCTACTTTGATTCCATTGAGCGCATTGCCCAGCCCGACTACCTCCCCACCGACCAGGATGTCCTCCGTTCCCGTGTCAAGACCACCGGTATCACCGAGACCACATTCATTATTGGTGACCTCACATACCGCATGTTCGACGTTGGTGGTCAGCGATCCGAGCGCAAGAAGTGGATTCACTGCTTCGAGAACGTTACCACCATTCTGTTCCTCGTCGCCATCTCCGAGTACGATCAGCTGCTCTTCGAAGACGAGACCGTCAACCGTATGCAAGAAGCCCTGACCCTGTTCGACTCGATCTGCAACTCCCGTTGGTTCGTGAAGACCTCGATCATTCTCTTCCTCAACAAGATCGATCGTTTCAAGGAGAAACTCCCCGTTAGCCCGATGAAGAACTACTTCCCCGACTACGAGGGCGGTGCCGACTACGCCGCGGCTTGCGACTATATTCTCAACCGTTTCGTTTCCCTGAACCAGGCCGAACAAAAGCAGATTTACACGCACTTCACCTGCGCTACTGACACTACCCAAATTCGATTCGTCATGGCAGCAGTGAACGGTAAGCTCAGACGTTCCAACATTAGTGCGCAACACTTGTCTAACGTTTTACAGATATCATCATCCAAGAGAACCTTCGTCTCTGCGGTTTGATCTAATGAACCTATCGTTTGGTTGACGAAGTGTGTCCAACCTAGACCGCATTTTTTTTTAACCGGGGCTGATCGGATCTGGTCGAAAAGCCTCGTTTCAAGATCCCGGCGTTGATTCTCTTTTGCGTCTCATTTTCCTATTCTCCATTTGTTCACGTTCTAATTATCCCTGCCATTGACACGATCTCTAGCCGGTTTTTGCGTTTTCTCTTGTCAATCCTGATATCCACTACAGAAAACAAGGAGTGTTTCCCTCCCTTCTTTTTTTCTTTTTCTATTTCCTTTCTACCTTTTCCTTGTTATCCTTCTGATTTGAATGCTGGATATCCTATCATCTCTCCCCATTTCTTGTTTATGTATGTAACCATATCGTCTCCCCCCATCATTTTCCTTGGTCTCGCGTCCGTTGGAAGCCAAGAGCGTCCATCCGGGCATTGGGCACGGGGAAATGGCAGGATCCGCGGATTTGAATGTTTCCTTCTCATGTGTCATGCCAGGTCGGTCGTCGGGTTATTTCAGAGTTAAAGGATTGACTCTTCAGGTTCTGACTCTTAATTCCATATTGTTTCTATACCCTCGATGCGTATCGTTGTATGCTCCCAAGTTGTGGATATCGACAATAAGGTTGTGACTTTGTAGAGGTATAGACAGTTGTTCTATGCAGAGCGAAATAAGGGTATCGACGCGTAAAGATAGAACCAAGCCGTCCAGCGGGAGCGCTCAACCTATCGTAGGCAGAAAAAGTATGAAGACAAACGGGCAAATTATGACCTCTCAAAACCTCAACTTCGGCCCAACATAAACAATCAGAATAGCAACAACCCATAGCCCGAAAATCCACGCATACAGCATCATCCGCCCCCACAGCCCCTTCCCCTCTGTCATCTTGCGCAACATCCCCATCCTCTTACCAGCCGCCTCCATCGTGGTACTCGTGCGGTCGATACCCGACACCGCGCGGTCCAAAGCAGATTTCTCGCCCTCAAGCGTCGACTGAAAGTTCTGCGAGGAGGATTTCAATTGCGAAGCCAGCGTTAGGAGGGAGCTGGTTAAATCTTCCTGTTCCATTCTATGGGTGCTTAGCTCGGTTTCTGTTTCAACGAGTTTGTTCGTATTGTTTCCCGACGCAGCTGCTTTTTCGGTGGATGGCGGTGCGGGGTGGGCCGTGTAGCGGTTGCGGAGGATTGGGGGTGTTGGCGGGCTTGTTGATAAGGGGGTTGGTGATGGGGCTGTTGTAGTCGTCGTTGCGGAAGGTGTAATCGTGGTTTGTTGCGCTTCGCTCGTGCCTTTTACTTCTCTTTGCGAGTCTGATGGCTGTCTCGGTGCCTGCTGGTCTTTCGGTTGGGATAACGATCTAGCTTTCTCGGCGATGGGCTTGGAGAATAGCTCCTTCCATTCGTCGTCGACGTCTTCAGTCTCGTCGTCTTCATCTTGCTTCGCTTCGGCTTTGGCGTCTTCTTCCTCCAGGATGGTCTGTATGCGCTTCAGGAGCTGTCTGTCGCGTGCGATCTCGGCTTGTGCTTCGTGCTTGCGGTCGAGGGGTTTTATTTGTGGGAGGGAGCGCTCGAGTCGGGTAAGCAGTGAGCGGGCGTATTCAACGTTCTGTGATATTGGTCAGAGTTGAGGTTCTGGTGTATTTGTCCCTTGAAAGTATTTCCTTTGAAAGAAAGGTTTCTAAGGTTGCGGTAAAAGTCTACCTTGTTCACGCGCATACGTTGGTATTCTGATTGTTGGAATGAGCGCCGGTCTGTCCCCGGGGAGAGGATATTGTGCTCGAGTCTGGTGAACAGGCGGGCAACATTCAGAAGAGCAAGATCTGGAGAACCCTCGGAGGAAAATGCGTTTACGGCCATGGCTGCGACTTGGAATCAGAAAAGTGAGTTGCAGTTTGAAGAGGTGGCATGTAGAGCGACCTCCCGAGGTCGAGAGGCTCTTTAGATGACTCAGCATTGTAGGTCCGACGGGTGGGGAACAAGTGGATCGGTTGGATTTAACTATATGGTATGGTGCATACATTATTTATACAGATTTAAATACGAAAAGATCATTTGTCTAATAAGAAGAATTGGTACAGACAAGAGGATGAATCCGTATTAAAGTCGTATGGCCTCCGGTAGCAAGAAAGGTTGAACAATGGACATCGTCGAGAGAATCGAAGGACTCCTTCACCAAACATAACCCTTTAACAACGCACTATTTCACCTGATGCCAAGACCAAGTGGTACAACACTGAATAGTTAATTTGAGTTTTCTCGTGTTCTTCATCGAGCGTATCACCGACGTTTGAGTCCGTTCCATCAAGGCCAAGACCAGGCTGGATCAGGATTCTGCGGCGGTTGTATATTGGATATTCTATGGGAATTTAGGGGAAGCCTGCAGGGCCTTGCATGTTTCGCCAATAGGATAGCTTAATTATCAGACCTTACTAGGTAAGGTTTTCTGTAGAAGTCGATCTTGCAGGATGACTCGACTCGGCAAGACAGTCTGGTTTGCAGTGGAGTCATGAGTCCGCTCGTTTATAACTATGCAGTTTATTACCTATGCAAACATGTATAATTCAGTTTCAATACCAAAGCCAAGAAGTCCAAAGATGTTCCTCAAACTATAAAGGCAAATGATTGCCAACATATATCGTAACCACAATACTTGTCATGCTCAGTACATATATATCGCTGAACATGTGCATGTCAAAATAAACATATCTGCCGCCCAAAGCGATGCTCGACCGAAAGAGATATTCCAAACCCACGCTTCTCTAAGGAAAGACATTATTCGTGAAAAATTGAAGACACATGAGGGAATAAGAAAGAAAGGCATAACGAAAAGGGCAAGAAAAAGAAAGACGACTGTAAAACGAGACCCCAAACTGAGATATAATAAAAAGCAAGACCACCCAAATTCGATAAATGCACGGAATGAATGGACCTTGGAAACAGGCCGACTATCTATACTCAACAACAACACGTTTCCAAGTCCGCACTCCCTCGGCATCCTCGTCACACATTTGCTCGACCGATTCATTGCGTTTTTGCACTTCACCGCCATCAGGTAAAGAAGCCTTGGAAGATGCATTTTGCTGCTCTCTAACCTGTGCAGCGAGAACTCCACTGCTTGGGAGGAGGCTTGTATGGGATAAAGGTTGCAAGATATCACAGGCAGATGGAGGGCGCGAGGCCTGTGAGATGATGTCTCCTTTTTCCATGGTGACAGACTGGAGCCAGACGTCTTGGTCTTTTTGTTTGAATTCAGATGTAAGGATGATGTGTGCTCTCAGACGACGATATTTGATATATCGGTGGAGGAGGATGAGGCCGAGAAGAGAAAAGCTGACTAGGCTAGTCGCCGGCAAAAAGAAGTCTGTAGTTGGCTGCAGGAGCTCACGAGACAGGTAGTTGTATTCTTGTTCGACAGTGTGCATGACCGGGGGTTGGGTGGTTGGATAGCGTCCACCACTCGCGAAGAATATGTTGAAACTGCCACCCCTGTGAGATGGGGGGAACAGCTCAACTTAAGACCGCGTATGTGGGGAAGTAAATCTAGGCCAGGACTTGAAGGATCTTAGCGAGGGTCAAAGATACCTGTGTCGAATTGAGACCATAAGCGGACTTGGCGGGGATGAGGCGAGTGGAAGGAACTAGTGGGACGGAGTGCAGGGGCTCTTTCATATAAGAGTTAAGAGATCAAATATTACGGAGTAGTCGATCCAAAATAGGCTATGAGTGGGGGGCGGAGATCGAAGATCAACGCCGAAGCATGACCGGGATATATCCTACACGATAGGGCTTCTCATACATAGTATGAGGAAAAGGTAAAAGAAAGCAGGAGCCCGACTACCAGGACTGCGGAAGTGGCAAATCAGAATTATTTGACGAATCGCAGAGTCAAAATATACAGAATACAGAATACAAAACACAAAGAAAAGGATGTCTTTCGCCTCATCCTGACGAGTATACTAAAAATTGTGGATAAATAAGGCCAGCCAGCCCTGTCTCCACTCAGCTTACCTTCTAAACGCCACGATATTTTTTTGTTCGATGCTCTCTTCAAAGTTTGGGAATAAATTCCGAATCTCACCCATTAACACGGAGAAAACATTCATGTGCTGTCGATCATGACAAATGTATGGAGTAATGTACGGAGAACAAGGAGAACGGACAACATGTACATATGTATGTCTCGAGATTTGCCTTTCAGCTCGCGCCTGCATGGGTCCCCGCGCTAAGCCGTTTCATACATCGAATCACACTGCAAGATATCCTACTCGGCTATTTTAGTGGATTGCACAGTTATTAATCTAGTTTTTTGGATCTCAGGATCATCCGGGCTTGGCTGCTTGAGCAAATTGTGCCTATATTTACTGGATCCCCGGAAAAGAAAAGCCCTATATATATCCAAATGTAATATAAGTCTAGAGTTTAGCGGTGACACTCAGCTCTTCTTTGGCCTGTTCGCGCAATTTCATGCGAAGGATCTTGCCCGAGGGATTCTTCGGTATCGCATCGAGGAATACAACTCCGCCCGTAATCCGCTTGAACGCGGAGACCTTGTTGTCCAAGTAATGCGCGATGTCGTTGGCGGTGGCGGAGTGGCCCGGTCGAAGTACCACATATGCACGAGGGCGCTCATCGTTGTTGCTAATCTGGGTTAGAAAAGAAGACAGATCATAGATCATAGATCATCGATCCATAAAAGGAAGAACTTACATGACAACTCCGATCACTGCAACATCTGATATCGCCGGATGTTCAAGTAGAAGAGCCTCCAATTCCGCGGGCGCCACCTGGTTGCCTTTGACTTTGATTAATTCCTGTACACATTAGCATATTAGTTTCTGTCTCTCTTCTTCCTTTTAAACAAAATAAATAAAATACCTTCATTCGATCCACAACATGGAATTTCCCATCGTCATCCACAAACGCAATATCGCCTGTCAGTAGCCAGCCATCCTCGGTCTTGGTCTCTTTAGTGGCCTCCTCGTTGCGCCAGTAGCCTTTCATCACATTGGGAGCACGAACCCATAACTCGCCACGAGAGTTACGTTCCTTCACCTCTACCCCATCGACCATAATCTTCGCCTCGCAATTGGCATTGAGCTCACCGACAGACGCAGAAGTACTAATTTCGGTAGGATTCCATCCCGTGACCGAGCAAGTCGCCCTATATGGAAGATGAGTTTCCCATCAAAGTAGACAGAAAAAGAAAAAAGAATAAAAAAGAAGCACTCACTCAGTCATTCCCCATCCCTGTTTAATATTAATCTTCCCAGGAGGCCACAACTTCTCAACCTCCTCACAAACCTCCCTCCCTAACGGCGCAGCACCACTCCCAACCAACTCCACACTACTCAAATCATACTGCCTAACAGCCGGATGCTTCGCCAACGCAACAACAACCGGCGGCACGAGAATAAAATCGGTAATCCGGAATTTCTGCGTATACTCCAGCATCTTGATAAAGTCAAACTTAGACATGATATACACCGGCGTGGCACGGTACAGCGCTGCAGCAATGAAGATATTCTGCGACATCGCGTGGTACATAGGCAAGAAGCACAGCCAGCGGGAGCGCTCAAGACGGGCCTTGTAATCCGGGTACAGACTTGCCGTGTGACAGTACTGGAGCATATTGGCGACGTAGTTCCTGTGCGAGATCTCGACGCCCTTGGGACGGCCGGTTGTGCCGCTGGAATAGTTGAGTGCTAGCGTGCGAGACGAGAGGGCGGGTGTATCTAGCTTGTCCCAGATGAATGCGCGACCTTCTTCTTCCGAGGCGAGGAGGTCGCTCCAGTATGCGCAGCCCTTTTGCGGGTTTGTTACGCCGTCATAGATGGAGTTGTCGTAGGCGAAGATGCGGTCTTGGGGTAGATTGGCTTGTTTGGCCGCTTCGAGACCCGTTTCCAGACTGCTGCTCGCGCAGATTAGGTATGTCGCCCCGCTGTCGTGGAGTTGGTAGGCTAGTTCGCGGGCTACGTAGGTTGGATTCGCGCCGGTGAAGATTCCTCCCGCCATTATCACGCCCAGGAAGACTACCGGGAAGAAGAGGTCATTGCCGGAGAAGAGGAGGACGCGGTCTCCACGCTGGAGTCCGGATTTGCGTAGTCCGGCGGCGAGCCGCTGGCTCCAGAGGCGGAGATCATGGGTGGTGAGGTAGTGGGTTTCTGGGCGGGAGGCTTCCAGATAGCACTTGTGCGTTTTGGAGAGAGGTGATGTGGGGGATTTGAGGAGAAGAGAGGCTAAATGGGTGTCCGGGATGTTAATCGTCCAGCGGGATTTATACGGCATGTTGGGGATATAACAGGTAAGGCCCCATCCAGTATTAGATATATGGGGGAAAAAGGACTTGAGGGGACTTAACGGCGAGGGCCTCATATAAATACTAAGTGAGTCGTCCAATTCTGCACAATTTCCCTGATTCCTGCATAATCGCAGTTCATCTCCCCGCATCGTCGGTTATATACATAGTTGGTTTTGCGGGGAACTTGACTAGCCCGAGCCTCGGTCTTTACACTGCGGATAAATCAGTCATGAAACTAGTGTACTGGATATGCTAAACTACATCACGGCTACTAATGGTTTATGTCTTGGACTGTGCTGTTCTCCTTAGCTCCAGTATGGGCTATTAGCTGTGATAGGCCAGGCCATACCCCAAAAATAAGAACCCAAAAGAATAAAGGACTGGAAATAAATTGTTTTGATACTTGAGCTTCACCCATGAAATAATTCAGCTACTACACCCCGGCCGACCCAGAATACATGAGAAAAAGAAAAGACAAATAGCAAGAAGGCCACAACGAGCATATTCATGAATCCTCCCCACCCAAACAGGTAACTGCTGCCTTCATCTCATTGACAAG